GACACTCATCGCCATCAAACAACGCCAAACAAACGCCAACAAACCTCCACCGTCTGTCCCCACACAATTACCGAAAGATTAATCCCAAGAAGCACCTTGTCCCCAACAAAGGAGAAAACAACCCCTAAACAGGACCGTCCAATTTACACCAGAAATCCTCCCCCGACCTATCCCCGAAGAAAAAGAGATCCCACCCTTCGGGGAAAACCGACGAAAATTCTCGGCGTGAAACTTTCCTTGACCAGGACCGAGGGTGAAAGTGTACTAGAGCTCTTAATCGCTAGGGGTGGTTCCAAAAGAAGAAACCAGAAACAGAGAAAGATAGGCAGGAAACATTCGAGGAGGATTTATCGTCGCGAACCGTGTCGCAATTATGATCCATCCGCGACACACCAGATTTACGATATCAACGTGCTAAGGGGGTGGTAAGGGGGTGGGGGTGTTGCGCGGAGGAGGGCTGTGCGCGATCGCGGGCCACCCTTTCATCAGCGGACGCTTTTTAGAATTCATTTTCGGGCTTAAGCTTCATTTCTCACTTCTGGGTTCTCCGTGTGCATCAACGGGGGGATGCACAGTGCGACCTGGGTTGGTTATTTCGCGAGGAACAATTCTCCAGGCTTTTTTGTAATTTACGACAATACGAACACGACCGACAGAATTACGATCCGACCACCCCACCCTAACCGCCCCTTATGACGCGTCTGCGCAACCACGGATACCACGTTTAATCCGTGAACGAAGGAGAATACGGTGAAACGTGTATCTCAAGGTTAACAATTTTTTCCGAAATAGATAATAAGTCTTAAAATGACTATTGGTTCTTGACTGTATGAAAAAAAAAAAAAAAAAAAAAAAAAAAAAAGATGTACATACTATAAGATAGCAAACAGATGCAGTAAACGGGTTAGGGGATGCTATAAATGGAAAAATATCCGTAGTCTGTAGATAACTGTGATAAAAATAAAGAATTCATCAAATGACAATGAATGAAAAATGACATTAAATGCTTAAAAAATGTCAAAATGTTCTTGGGAATCGTGCAGATTAAAAATATTTCAAGGAAAATGTTTTTTCTTTGTAATCGTAAAAGAATTGGGAATGAAAGGGTTAATCGAATCCCCTTGACGGTTTTCCGGTTTTGGTTTGGAGATGACATGGGTACGTTGAATAATTCCCGATTGGTCGCGGCAAGAACCCCCATGAAATTTCGTCGACGCGCGTTCCACATCGGCGTAAGTTTCCACCGTGTCCGTCGTGTGCCTTGAGCTCGTTTCATAAATAATTAAACACTGTTGATAATGGCGCACGGGGGCCGAGGTCGCCGATCAGCCGGATACCGGGCGAAACGGATCCAAAACTGCAAACGCGATCTTTCGATCTTTGCTTTTCCCACCCATTTTTCTTTTCCATTCCCAAGAAACTCGTTTAAATTATATAATTCCCCCTGACAAGGAGAGAAATTAACACTCATACAACAATACACGATGAGTCAATAAGAAATGGTCACATATTGGTTGTATCAAAAAGACGTTTTTAACGAACTATATTGTTATTGCATCTGAAGGGATTCATTGGATGGATGCAATTTGATTTTTTTATATCCTCTATTTGCCGAGATGTCAAAGTGATCTTGAGTTACAAAGTATCTTTTCAATATCGTCAACCATTTCCAATATATTCAAGTGGATCGATTTAAATGGCACACAAAATGAGGTTAAGTCATCGATTAAAGAACAGCAACTTGCGGGCCACGTGATTTATGTGAGGGATAGGCGGGAAAAGGGGTGAGTTTTCAGTCGAGTTCACGACCCGCCGCACAATTTGCATGCGCTTATTTTGTCAATAGACGACAGTGTTTTTCCGCTGGTGGGTAGAGAAAAAATCTTTAGCCGCGCAGGACTCTCGAATAAACATCGAACGAAGAACAGAAAATAACGGACGGTTTCGTTTGAAAAACAAAACTCCGTTGGACATCCACGTCGGTTGTCTTCTTGAGGGGCAAAAATTAAGGAGCAACCTGTAAGCCATTGGAGGCTTTCGTGCTCGAATTTCAACTCCCTACCCGCTTCGTTCCACCGATATTTATCCCGGTTAAGCGGGTACATATTGCGGAGTACGTTTAAACGGGGGGTGGCTATACCGGGTGGTCAGACAGTATAGTACCTACCTAAGCGAACAAAACTAATTAATCTTGTCTATCATCATAGATCCTTAATTTGTCAGTTATTGGAGCGATAGAAGATATTCCATTTCGTCTATTTTTTGAGTTTTATCTGGACACCCTTTATGGGACAAGAGGACTAACCTGAATAATGTCCCAGGGCATGGGGAGTTGACGTTTGTCGTGGCGGTGCCTAGCGTGCTGCCACCGACTACCCTAACAGTAACCCACCCACCCCCAACCAAGTCTCGTTTCTGTTGCCCCACGGCCCGCCAGGACTCATAATTGTCCCCGTCCGAGCTGGCATATCGCGGAAGCGACCGAGGGACACGAAAGTGGTTATGCGCATTCCTATCCACCGTGAAGAAGCATCGAGCCAGTTTAGGATGGGTGGGTGACGAGGTGGAAGGGGTGTGTAATGAGTAGCGATGTACTCAAGACACCTGGAACGCGCGATGAAATAACGGTCCTGGCTGAAATTCTCCTGGAATCCTAAGACTGCAGGGGTTCCGTGGGATTTGGTAACTCCTAAAGCATCGGTTGATGAACCGAAAATGTCCGGAAATCAGAAATCAGAAGATACGAATCAGATTAGAGGATTTTTTAGATGATTTAGAAAGTGATCTGAATGTTTTGGGATGAAAGAACCTGGAGCATTTCGAGGCTAAGGGTTACGTTCCAAATGATTCATTAATGAATCACTCGAACGAGACCAGGTCACAGAATACCTTTAGCATCCATCATCCCCGACAATGTTGTACACGTTAAGCGTGAATTCAATGGAAACGTTTTCTGAATTCCCGGGGATTGCTTGAAAACTCGCAACACGGGGAATTGAATACCCATCGCTAGTAATGAGAGGTTGGTGGAGAGGGAGAAGGGACGAACGGGGGAGCTACCAGTGGATCGTCCCCCTGTGCCTCGTCGCTGAATACTTGAATATTGATTAAGCATGCACATCGCGATTACTGGAAGCAGGTAAAAGCGCTTCTGGTCTGCGTGTCTGCGGATATTTATACGGTACGTAGCTTGCCCTTCCCCTGTTTCGCTTTATCTTCCTCCAGGCTAAAAAAGTCACCTTGGAACACTCATGGGGACCAGCCCTGAGACGTTTCCACGATGAGACCATTAGATTTACGATCACCATTTGAAGGATCGACCTTCGTATTCCATTGTTCTGTCAAGGTTCGACCTATTCCTAACTTAGCTCCCCTCTGATCCAACAATCAGAAGCTGTTGGATCAGGGGTTTACTAAACAACAGATCTGAAATATAACTGGAGGTATTTAACAATCTACCGAGAAATTCAGTTGAATCCCAAGGTGTCCAGTATTAGATGCAAGATGGAGTAGCTACAGATCTTACTAAATAGATCATCCTGGTTGCGTCATCGATCTCTCGGTATGTGCCGACAATCACAAAACAGTCAATTATCTCGTTTTTTTTCCTCCCCGGACGTATGCAACAATGAGTTCGTCAGCGATAAGTAGGTTAAAGAGAGCCGGCCGTCTTTGAAACCGCCGGCTGAAAAAATGCCAAGTGTCCCAGGCTGGTGATTGCCGTTTGTCGAGAAATGCGAGGTGGAGAGCTTTGTCCACTATTATCGCGGATGATCCAGTCTCTGGATCACGTGGAGGAGAACACGTGGCCTGGCGATCAGTTTCACGGTAATTTGAATTCCTAATTCACGACGTGGGTTGTCGCCACTCGAGGTCGGATCCTCCAAAAAGTCGGTTGAAATTTAAATCCCTAAGTGGGTGGCTGATGACTTTCCACGCTACGAACCCTTTAATGTCAAAGACAGACACTGGACACACGTCATTATGTGGGTGGGCGAGATTTACTCGAAATGAGCCCAACTTCTGTTGTCCAGTCGATGTATGGCTTCGAGCCTAGGTGCGCGATGACTAAGCATGATCGAAGCAAAAAAAATAGCGTTCAATCACCGATGAGGAGTTCACTGGTCCAATCAGTCAGCCTGGAAGACGTGTAGGCGCGAGACTGTCACGCCTCCTCGTGCTGTTGACCACGATCTACCCCGACACTCGACGCCCTGTCTACGGGGGCGAGAGAAAAAAAACCACGGTGAAAACAGAACATGCGGACGGGGGATGGAAACAACCCTCGAGGTTTGAATATTCAGCAGGCACATCCTGTGCTCTGGGCTCTCCCACCTGACCCTCTTTTCTTGCCGGAAAAATCGGCACGTACCCGACGACGACGACAACAACGCGCGTCTTCGAGGCTGCTCGAGGCTCCGACGAAGTCGGAACGAGTTTTTAATTAGATCACATCGGAGACCGGAAGTGAGGGGCGATCAACATTGCCTGGTCGACTCGGAGGTTGTTTATAACGGGATGCATTGATCCGTTGCGTCGGTAGAACAGAGTCTTTCTGGTCTGTACTGACTGAGTCAGCGGAGGTATTACAGATGGAGATTGTATCTACGGACACGGTGAACCTCCTCAGCAGAAATTGTACATAGTTTTATAAACACCATTCTCTAGTGTTTTGTCATTTTACCAAGAGAGGATGTACTTGTACGATCGGTAACTTGGTCAACTGTGACGGTAATTTCCCCAGCAGAACCGTATGGTATGATGCTGCTTCACCAGACGAGTCTTAGTGGTTTTCGCTGTTACCGACAGTAACACTGAATGGTAACCCTGCATTAGGTGCATCTGGAGATCCCTTTTTTAAAGATACATATCACTTGCGCCATTGATTAACGGGAGATATACGCAACCAGAGATTCACTTTGAGCATAAAAACTACCTAAACACTTCAAGCAGCTAAGGCCGAATTGAAAGCTGTTGAAAAATTGAAAAATAAGACTCACCGGGGTAGTTGCAATCATGCTCGTCACTCCCATCTCGGCAGTTCTCGATAAAGTTGCACCGTTCGGACTCCAAAATGCACCTGGAGACGTCGCAGGCGAATTCTCCGGCGCTGCAGCCTATAAATCAAGTAGTTTCTTGTGTTCGTTAATGAAGTACCATTTTCTTGACCGTATACAAACATTATCAAGCATGAAACGATATTATGAGAATGATCGAAGAACAAAATTTCTCATGCATTCTACATATGTACGTATACATGTATACATATTTACAGAGGTGACGATCTACAGATACACTAACAAGGCATAAAATGTCCCGGGACTGGGCGAGCCTATACCTGGATGGGGACAGCCAACTTCGTCACCGCCGTCGTCACAGTCTGGAACGCCGTCGCATTGTTGCACGGAACAAATGTAACGACTTTCATCGTGACAGCGCACCGTGTCGTCCGCGCGACACTTGTTCGACGCTGTTCTTCTATCGGGCAGCTCCTCCCTGACCGTAGTCTCCACCTCGGGTTCCTCAGTCCCTGGATAGGGATCTGTGTCCGACTTGTTCGTTACATGGTGTCGAGTGGATCACCCAGACGGGTGTCACCGATGGGTTTAACCGAACCGAGAGTGAATTGTAAACATGAAGAGAACAATAATGGAACTGAGGTGCGTGTGGATGATGTGAGAAGTGTGTTTATTGTACATTTAGGATGAAGCTGGCTACTCGAGAGTCATTGAAATCCTATTTGTTATTGACTTAAAACACCTGATCCTGTGTTAGATATCTACTTCTAGTGGCTCGGATGTATACCATAATCTAATTTGGTATTGCTTAAAATTTCTGAAGAAAATAAGTAGAAATGAGGATCGACGATAGCCCAGGAGAGCCAGCTCCATACACTTATGGGTAACTGCCAGGTGACATGCGATACAACGTTAATCCACATTGGTTACTGTACAATTGCGTGGTCGAGGTATATGTACAGACGGGTACAGAGCAACCTAAGAGTACTTACGCGTTGTGGTGCCAGGACAGTCGAGCTCGTCGGAGCCATCATCGCACTGAGTAACCCCGTCGCATCTGGAGTCTAATGGCACGCATGCACCGTTTCTACATGTCAATTCGGTGGACGGGTCGCATTCCTCTTCCTCCCGTTCCGTTCCAGCTGTATATGTGTGTATGTGTGTATGTGATTGGTGTTTCAGTCGTTCAAGGAGAAAACCATAAACGGAAAAACAGAGAACGGCGAATTTGAAATAAATAATGTATAACCAAACAGAAAAGTGGATCTGGTTGTAAAGGGATGCAAAACATGATCTATCTAATTTATGTTCTTGGAGTTTACTCGACGTTCCAGCATTCCACGTGCAACACTGATTGAAAATGAAGCTAAATGGTTCTCTCGACGAAGGTTTTGATCAACATTTCCCTAAATATGGATCGAGTATTGAGACCCTATCGGTTGTTTTAGTTTAAGCAAATACGTCTGAATGAAGTTCTGGAATCTGGAGTGAAAGTTGGAAACCTTCGACGGGGAATCGATCATCCCTACCTTGGCTAGACCAAAGAAGAATTTACCTTGGAATATTCTGAAGGTGAACTCGTCGGGATACACTTGGATGCTGCCCAAAGCATGGTAACGCAGCTGTTCCTCGAGGGTGCTTCGCACCTCCAGCTCATCTGTATACGTCGAGCCAATGTCCAGGGTAACTTTCGACTTGAAGTTGTCGGATATTTTTGGCCTGCGGGAACAGAACAGAATTCCTGTCATTCCTTGGGCACTTGTCGGTCCAGACACGTGGACTCAATAACTTGCATAACTCCTCTATTTCTGATCTTTTGGGTAAATTGTAGAACATATACATTAAGGCCGATTCTAAAACTGAATAAACCATCGCAGAAACTTCCTTTCATGGAAAAGTTGCGAGACCAATCGACCTTAAAAGATACCGCAGCGAGTGAGTTGGAGGGGTTAGAGAAGACCAATGTACTCACGATATCTTGACGACGTTGACATAGTGACTCTCGTTAGGTATATGCCGGTTGTACAACTCCTCCAGAGCCTGTGTCAGATTGCCACTCAGGTCCTTGTACTTCCGACTATTTCTGTCCGCGTACTCCGGCAGGTACGGCTCACCGATTGTCAGTGTGATCCGGTAGTATCCTGCAACGACCAATCAACAGATGGTTGAAGTGACTTGGGCCAACAAGTTGGACCAAGAACCGAGGATTTGTCTATTGGGTGTACCAATCAGTAATCCACTATATTTAATAAACCTATTCAATCCGCGCCGCTATTTTGGGAGAAGAAAACTAAATGAAAAGAAATGGCGGATTAGTTATTGGTACACTTGAATGCAATCACCCTCAAGGTGTTACTCACTTCGTTGCCTGTCTGGGGGATAAATAACACCTGTTCCACCCTCATTGGCGCTACCTTCGACCTCCCCAGAGCCAGCTAGGTCTTCATCGTCACTGTTCCCAAATTTTTCTGGATCCCTGCGACCTTCTGCCGCGTTCCCAATCTCATTATCCTGTTGCAAACAATATCAGAAATTATTTCTAGATCATCTACCATGATTCTACTTCAATTCATCTAATATCTAACCTCGTCAGCTTCCTCGTTCTCCTCTCCACTCTCCCGGACCAGCCTGCCGAGTGTGGCTGGCGCTTTGTCGCTCGACGTCCAGAGCTTTTTGTCATCTGAGATCTCGATTGGTGAATTCTCGACCTCGTCCTTTGTGTCGTCTAGCTCTGGTCCTAAGAAACAATTCAAAATTTAACTGTCAGTACTGATAACGTGTTGATAGTTTTAATTTGAGACACGCCTCGACCACTGTCACTTGGAAGACATACCTAGAGGAGATTCTGTGGTGGTGGTGGTGGTGGTGGTGGTGGTGGTGGTGGTGGTGGTGGTGGTTGGTGTGGTAGTGGTAGTTGATGCCGGTGCCCAGATGTCCCACAGACTCCTCTTCAGTCGATGAAGAAGAGACTCATGTTGCTGTGACTCGATCAGAGGCGTCTCGTCGAAGGATTGTTTGCCATCCTGGTCGAAAACCAGGTCATCATTCTGGAAAAAAAATGGAACAGTTCAGACTAGGGATCATTGGATTAATTAGGTACCATTACTCAGGGACTAGAACTTAAGAAATAGGAGTATCCAAGGGTGATAGATCGAAATTCTGGAAGAGACTTTTTCAGGATGGTACGATTTATTGTACTTGGGAATAATAATTGATGGAAATAGTGGTATCGAAGAGCCATAGAGGTTTGATGCTTTCTGACGATCCATCGAGCTTTAAGCTGCTCTACGGAAAGTAAAATACTCGGTGGATCCTGTCGATCCATCATCGAAGTGGGACGCCGCTGGCCTGTAACGAGGCGAAAAGAAACGCTTTATATTCGTTTCGTCTTCCGTTTATTCGTGGGTCACGTTCGCGAGAGGAAATATCGGGTTTGTTATTCCCGTCGCGGGAGTGGGGCGTAATATCGATGCTCTCTACCTTGCATAACGATACTTTATTTCGTCGAGAGTCTCAGGTATCACCGGGTCCATTCTGATCCCGTGAGCACAGAGAAAAAGAGACAGAGGCATCGTTGACCAGAGAAACGCTTGAATCCTGGCCGGTTTCAGAATCACGAGCGAACAGTGGCGGGAATGGCCGGCCGGATCCTGAATTTATATCGCGTGTTTAGGTGAGAATTGGTTCTTTATGAGCGACACGTGACCACACTCTCGACGATGCACACACGCATACAATCGATACGTAAGGTGGGTTAGATGTGTTGAATGGTTTCTGACGATTCCTACTCGAATGGGCACAATGTACACATATGTGTTATGCGACGATTCGACAGTGTCACCCTCGATAGTTGATCTTCAGTGGAGATTAAACTTAAGCGTCCTAACTTGGACCCCAACGAGACACGATTAGACTTGAGGGTGATCTAAACAAATTAATTACCTTCTAATGGGTACGAGCATAAGTGGATCCAATTAAGACTTACCAAAGACCGAAGCAAACCCAGCCAAGCCTAATTCCGACTTGATACAAACTCAATCGAGACGTAATCCAGATCCCATTGGACTGATTTAAGAGTTTACAGCTGCGTATACACACACTTGAAGTATCACTTTTTTTATACGAACCCTTGCTCAGGCACGGTTCGCTAACTGTTAATGAACACGTAACAGACACACTGCTAAAAAATATACGATAGCTTCCGGAGAGGTACCAGTTGAGCGAAACCAAAAATAAAGAGGAACTGGATGTCTGACGTTTAGCTCGGCGCCAATCGGAACCGGAAGAATAAAAGACAGACCATCTGCCGGATCTGTTCAATCAAGGGAAACATTCGGTGTCGTGTTTCGCCGCGGTACCACGTGACCGGACACGCGGTTTTCCTCGCGGAAGCGTGGATCCTCGCTGATGAACCTTAAATCGACCTGGATGTATTATTACATCATCATGGCAAAATCTTCGTATATTCAATTAAAAATAAATATGTATTACTAATAAAATATTAAACGAAATGCATTTGGATTGGTTTCACGAGGTTTCGATAAAATTGGAGAAATTAGGACAACGGAGATGTTCAGGACAGAGGTATCCAAAATGGCGGAAGATGGATGGAAGAACGCGATACGATGGTCATCGGTGGCTTACGACCACGGGCATAAATCGCAACGATAATGCGAGTCGCGGAAGAAAAAGAAGGCGAGGGTGGGGAAACGGGGAGGTGTGGGCGAGCCACCGAGACAAAACTTTGCTATTCCAGGCAAGTTTTACACGGGATTTCCCAGCTAAGTCCACTCTATGATCCTTTCACGACAACTACGTGCTCATACTTCGGCAAAACACCGGCCCCCCGCGAGTCCGAAATCCTTAAAATGCATGGGAAATACGTGTCGCGGCTGGTTAAGTGGCCGGAGGAAGAAATTCGTCCACGGAACTTTCGATGCCCACCCCTTCTCCATATTCTCGACGATCCATCGATCGTTAAATTTTCCAACACAAAAGCATCGAGTGGCGAATCGAATCTTCCGAGTCACCATTGGACCTGTTCGGTCGAGAAATTTCTCCTAGTGTTACTGGACTAGAAATTTGAAAACTGACATATTCCGTGTGAACTTAACCCTCGAGTGGTAAGGTGGGTTTTAAGGTCGTACTTGATAAAGTGGGGTCGGATCCGACCCGAGCTCTTTTTCGCTGTTTTCAAACGGGTAAAACGAAGTTATTATCTTCAACTTTGTGTTTTTGTTCATTTATATAGTAAAGAATAATAATTCAGCTACACAACATATATATTAATGTAAGTATTACACGTTTACTAAATATAATCATAATAGGGACTGTACCATTAGGGGGTTACTGATCGGGTGAAGCTAGACCTGTTATCAGGTGAAAATAAATCGACACACTGGGTATTGTTCTATCTGTATAAGAACACAGATGTTTTCCTCGGTCTCGCCAGTTATGCAACCAACACGTGCGCGTGCAAACTGCACGGTTTTAACGATGCACAGACACGGGACCGATTTTTCAGGACCAGTTCCGACGCTGAGTCACCAGCGGTCTGAACTCATTTTTACACGGAGTTTAACGACCCCTGGGCGGGTACCTGCCCTCGTCTAGATCTGTCGATCGACTCGCTTGGAATATCAAGTTAGTCGCATAGATCTTTCGATCGATGGAAGGTGATAGATCAAATTGGTGGAATCCAACCTATCAGTTGGGATTCTAGATGGAGGGACCATTCATTGTCATTGGGGACCATTGAGTCTGTAGAGGTCAAGATCTCTTCTAGATCTCATTTAATATTGTATGTATACATATACATGTAGGATCAAGGAATATCGACTTGAAGCATAGATCCTCGAGTCCATGAAACGTCCAACAGCTAATTACGATCGAGACGGGGCTATCAGAGATCGTGATCACGAAGGATCGAGACGCCGAAAGTCGAGCAGCTCCTTTCGCAGAGAATACCACCAGAGGGAGACGAAATCCCCCAATTTGAGGGACTTCGCGGTGGCTTCGAGTTAACGGAAATATACTGTCCGACAGGTTTGAAAGAAGATGGCGGACCTGGCTGGCCAGGCCCTCGTCCTTTGTCTTAAGCCGTGCTATATTAATGTGGAGAACATGCGCCGCGAAGTAGGCTGGGGAAGGGTGGCTAGGCGTGGAAAAGAGGTCCGAAGCCGCGCAGAATACTAAATAGAAGCACGCGCGCTCGCGCACGACACCGCCGAATCCTTCGACCAGCCTTTGCATTTTAACTGCTCCGTTTTGGGGAAAACTTGTCACTCCTCTCCGCGATCGGATGACTCTTGCCTTTTATTCTGATCTTGGGACACTGATTTAGTTATTACACCGTTTTAGAAACTGGTTTGGGTCCAATAAAGTGAACTAAGGGGAATCCTGAAGAATACGAGAATCGACCGATGCTCGCGATACTTATATCACAGAGACCCTAGAACCCTCTGATTCCGTTAAAATTCTGCTTCAACTACAATTCCATTCTGGCGACTTATCGTCTCAAGGAGGAATCCACGGAGTCCACGTGTTGATTCTCAAGCCCGAAAACGACAAACGCCGAGATATCTCCGGGCGGATCATCTTATATGAACTTTCATATCCCCCCATACAGAACACGGAGGTGGGGAGCAAATATACCACGGGGACGGGTGAAATTGCGGAAATCACGAGCGATTCGGCTTCCCAGGCAGTTTCTGGTCCCCGGGGCTGCGGTCTGCCAGTCAGACGTCACGGGGGCAGCTGCACGTCGGGTGGTGCAAAAAAAAAAAGAAACTGTTTCCGTTTCGAGCCGTCGAAGAATCTCGATTGACTGGCAGCTTCCGGATGGTCCGATAATTAGGGAAAAATTGGATATATGAATCTTTTCGAACTTGGCTGTCCGTGTTCGAGACAATTGCTGATTTTCAAGACTAAAGATCGAAAATCATCAATCGTCAGAAATAGTGGATTTCATCTAAAAGTGATGGAGGTCTCGGTAATTTATACAGTTGGGGACACACTTTCCTTCGTTTAATGTCACTTCGACCCCCGTTTAGCGATACACAAAATCCTCTACTACCTTCTTGGCAATATGAATATGAATATAAATCTTGAAATTACTGTTAGACGATTACCTTCTCCGTACGTAAGGCACGAGATCGTCAACTGTATCATTCATAGCCGGGGAATAGGGGATGCAAATGCACCAGAAAGATATACCACATGCAACTGTACGAGTTACTTAGTCCAAGTGGTCGGAAGTATTCAAAAGCGTGGGGATCTTCCGAATTTGTTTTCATTGCAGCCGAGTGCACGTCTCGGCCAAACACGTCGGTTAACCGCTCTCGATCCGCGATTTATCCTACCAGCCACTCCTCCTCTGGGCTGCCCCATTCTCTCCCCTTTTCGAGGGGTTGAGCCGTGAAACCCGAGGCGATCCAACGGTGGACAGGACGAATCACGGAACTCGTTTACCCACTTAAAGAACCCGATACCCTCGCTTTTTAACGCACATACATACATACACCTGGAATGAAAAATAATAGATCGTGAAAAAATTCAATATTTCCACGATCCAATTTTTCTCCCATTGAATCAGATACCACGAGACGTTTCTCTGTTTCGACGGAAGTGGTCGATGTTTTCAATGAAAATAATATTAACAGACCGTGAAAATGTGACCGATGTCCAGGGGAGACTCTCTGCAAACATTGAAGAATGGGTATCAAAATATCGAAATGGCCGTGGAGAAACGTTATTTCGGTCCCACGGAACATGAAGTGTCCATCGTGCGCCAGGGATCAAAGTTCACGTACATTGAAAGATCTACAGTTTAAAAATGAGAGATCGATTT